GTCGCAAGACCGAATGGCTCTTATGTGGCGCGCACGCCTCTAGTGTGTTGGCCGCGCGGTTCCCTCTCGTTTCGTACGCAGCAGCGGAATCGTCGCGCTTACCGAGCATCTACTCCACGGATACGAGTTTGCGGGAAGAGTTGCTTCTTCCCGCTCGCTTTGTACGCCGTAGCGAAATCTTATTGCTGGTCGTGTGCGGTTAAACGCGTACGAACCAGACAGAACAGTCCTCGACGTCTAAGCATCGCCATCGTCGATCTAGCGTCAGGGTGAATCGCGCGGTCTCTCGAGACCGCGCATCATAACATTTGGGAGAATAAGAACACGAGTATTTTGATCTTGTGGATTTTTGAACGGAGAGGAGGAGGAAGAAAGGGAGAGGCGGCGGCGTCGGGGGTTTACTCTCGCCTCCGTCGTTCTCTCGTACGCTTTACATAATAGCGTTAAACACAGCAGAGTGTCGCCGACCGGCTGAGCAAGACCGGCGGCAAATAAAATGGCACATACGAGCGTGTCGCGCGCGCGTCGGTGTTTCGGCATCGAACGCGCGCGCGCGCGAAAAAGAGCTAGCGACGAGTCTTCGGGCTCGCTCGCGAGTTACTCCCTTGCGAGTAACCGAACACGAAGCTCCCTGGTTGATCCTGCCAGTAGTCATATGCTTGTCTCAAAGATTAAGCCATGCATGTCTCAGTGCATGCCGAATTAAGGTGAAACCGCGAATGGCTCATTAAATCAGTTATGGTTCATTAGATTGTACCCACATTTACTTGGATAACTGTGGTAATTCTAGAGCTAATACATGCAAAACAGAGTCCCGACCAGTGATGGAAGGGACGCTTTTATTAGATCAAAACCAATCGGTGGCGGGCGGCTCGCCGTTCGTCCACCGTTTATTTTGGTGACTCTGAATAACTTTGTGCTGATCGCACGGTCCTAGCACCGGCGACGCATCTTTCAAATGTTTGCCTTATCAACTGTCGATGGTAGGTTCTGCGCCTACCATGGTTGTAACGGGTAACGGGGAATCAGGGTTCGATTCCGGAGAGGGAGCCTGAGAAACGGCTACCACATCCAAGGAAGGCAGCAGGCGCGCAAATTACCCACTCCCGGCACGGGGAGGTAGTGACGAAAAATAACGATACGGGACTCATCCGAGGCCCCGTAATCGGAATGAGTACACTTTAAATCCTTTAACGAGGATCCATTGGAGGGCAAGTCTGGTGCCAGCAGCCGCGGTAATTCCAGCTCCAATAGCGTATATTAAAGTTGTTGCGGTTAAAAAGCTCGTAGTTGAATCTGTGTCGCACACCGTCGGTTCACCGCTCGCGGTGTTTAACTGGCGTGATGTGGGACGTCCTACCGGTGGGCTTAGCCTCGCGAGGGGCGGCCCAACTAATATCCCGTCGCGGTGCTCTTTACTGAGTGTCGAGTCGGGCCGGTACGTTTACTTTGAACAAATTAGAGTGCTTAAAGCAGGCTACCTTCGCCTGAATACTGCGTGCATGGAATAATGGAATAGGACCTCGGTTCTATTTTGTTGGTTTTCGGAACCCCGAGGTAATGATTAATAGGGACAGATGGGGGCATTCGTATTGCGACGTTAGAGGTGAAATTCTTGGATCGTCGCAAGACGGACAGAAGCGAAAGCATTTGCCAAAAATGTTTTCATTAATCAAGAACGAAAGTTAGAGGTTCGAAGGCGATCAGATACCGCCCTAGTTCTAACCATAAACGATGCCAGCTGGCGATCCGCCGAAGTTCCTCCGATGACTCGGCGGGCAGCTTCCGGGAAACCAAAGCTTTTGGGTTCCGGGGGAAATATGGTTGCAAAGCTGAAACTTAAAGGAATTGACGGAAGGGCACCACCAGGAGTGGAGCCTGCGGCTTAATTTGACTCAACACGGGAAACCTCACCAGGCCCAGACACCGGAAGGATTGACAGATTGATAGCTCTTTCTTGATTCGGTGGGTGGTGGTGCATGGCCGTTCTTAGTTGGTGGAGCGATTTGTCTGGTTAATTCCGATAACGAACGAGACTCTAGCCTGCTAAATAGGCGTACCCTATGGTATCGCGGAACTTTTGAAAGAAAATCTGCCCGATTTTTTAGAAGAAGTGCCACTATTTGAAAGAAATAAAATGTTCTTTCAACAAGACGGTGCTTGACCACACAACGCCAGGATTGTAACAAACTACTTGAACGAGCAGTGTTCGAGATTCGAACGGTAATAACCCGCGGACAAGAAAGCGTTAAAATATTCATGCATCTCGATCATGCCTCATGCAGCATGCATATAATTTATTAATTAATATCGTGGTCTAACATGCGTATTTTAAATTATATTTAAATTAGCGCTCGGCCGCGAGAGTATACGGATACTCCGCGCCTTCGAAAACAAGCGCTTAAAACAGTCTAAATTGTAAACACCGCTGTCGCGCGAGAGGAGAGAAAAACAAGTAAATAATTACAGTAAACGTTCCTTCACCCTTAATATCACAATAGAACGACAGCAAATGTACTCGAATATTCTAGAATTACAAGGCGTATATAAGCCTCCTCTCTCGCGACCGCGGCGCTTTTTCCGATTGCTCATCGCGAATAAAGTGTGTTCATACGATAAAGATTGCTTGTCTTTGTCTAATTCATTACCGTTGCTTGCGGACACTTAGTAATTTACGACTCGGCTAATTCTCTCGGTAAATTCGGTGCGGTATATTAATTGTAATTTTTGTTAATAGTTTATATAAATATATTTTTTTTGTGAACGTTACGCGTGTGTCGAGTGTTGTGTCTATTTCTCGGTCTCGCTTCCGACCACGTCCTATCCATCTTTCCGTCGCGCACATTTTTTGGTCCTTCGAGCCGGATTCCTCCGGAACCTCCTGTGAATCCGGTGCCACGGAAGCGATTGTGATTGAGTGTCGGTGACCAGTGCTTCTGGAACAGAGAAACATTGTTAGAAATGACAGACACGAAGGCGATCATTGCCACCGCCACGGCAAGATCTCGCGCGCGTTCGAGAACCTGCGGAAGCTCGGCGAGGCCAATATGACCCTCGGCGCGGTGGAGGCCCGGCTTCAAAATCTCGAGAAGCTATGGGATAAATTCGACGCTCTTAATGATACGTTAGCCGATCGGGTTGACGAAATAAAGCATGAGGTCTACGCTAAACAGGACATCCCGTCCTTAGGCGAGGAAGCTTACCTGCTGAACAAGGGCCTCATGCTCGATCTGAAGAGCGCTCTCCAGCTGCAGCTACAGGCAGCCAGCTCTACCGCGGCCGCGACAACTAGTCCCGCTCCTCGGACAGCGCTTCCAAAAATCCAACCGCCTACCTTCGCCGGGAAATACGAGGATTGGCCTTCATTCCGGGATCTGTTCCAATCCCTCATCGGCCGGAATCAGGCAGCAAAACCTGTGGAGAAGTTACACTACTTAAAACTTTGTGTGAAGGGTGACGCCGATCTGCTGATTCGTAACCTCAGCACCACAGAAGACAACTATGAAATCGCCTGGAAAACTCTAAGCGATTATTACGAGAACAAAAGATTGCTGACTCGTAATTATCTGAATAATTTCTTAGCGTTGACCAAGATGAAAAGCGAATCCGCCGCTGAATTGAGGAGGCTTTTCCATGGAGTAAAAACAACTGTCAGCTCCCTGAAGAGCATAGACCGACCGATAGACCGCACGGAGGATCTCTTCGTCCACCTCGTCGTAGAGCTCCTCGACAGCCGCTCTAGGCGAGAATGGGAGAGTGATATAAGTCACACCACGAGTCCGCCAAGCTACGCCTCGCTTGAGGCCTTCATAGAACGTCGGCTCCATACGTTGGAGGCGCTGTTTCCGGCCAGGAACGACAGCAGCAGCTCCAGCACTACGAAATCAACGAGGAGCCACCACGTCAAAGGCCAAAATCCAAAAGAGAAGTCCAGAAGCCGGTGCTCCATCTGCCAGGGGGACCACTTTGTTATGTTCTGCGGCGACTATAAGGATAAGACGGCGATGGCGCGTAAGCAGCTCGTCCGTGAGCATAAGCTCTGCTCAAACTGCCTTGGCCGGCATCAATCTTCCGAGTGCTCTTCGAAGAAGACGTGTACAGCGTGTGGCAGTCGACATCACTCCTCGCTTCACGATGCATTCCGGGAAGCCGAGGCCGCCACGACGTCTCACGTGGCTCAAGGCGCAGACTCTTCCTCCGCAACGGTGCTGCTCGCTACGGCTAGGGTCCGCGTCCTCGACTGCCACGGAAGCTGGCAGTCCGCTCGCGCTCTGATCGACCAGGGCTCCGAATCCTCCATCATTTCGGAGCGATTAGCGCAGCGCTTACGACTCCCTAGAAAAGCAGCCGCCGTTAGTGTCTATGGAGTCGGAGAGAAAAGGACCGGAGTGACAAAGGGGAAGGTGAGACTTACCCTGCAGTCGCGCAGAGGGGAATCGCCCACCTTCGTCAACGCTTTGGTGCTGCCGAAGTTGACGCTGTTTTCCGGAGGATGCCGCAGCAGTAGACGAACCTGGACCCATCTGGAGGACCTGGAGCTCGCCGATCCGGAATTCTGCTCCTCGGACCCCGTCGACATCCTACTGGGAGCCGACGTATATGGGACCATCATCCGTCAGGGTCTACGAAAAGGAGGTTCTAAGGATCCAGTAGCTCAACAAACCTCGTTGGGCTGGATTCTCTCAGGTACAGTTAGCTCGACGGCGCCCAGCCAACACATCTCCGCTCATCACTGCCAAATCGAGGAGGACATCACCTGCTTGGTGCGGCGGTTCTGGGAGCAGGAGGAAGTCCACCGGCCATCTCCGACCCTCACCAAGGCGGAACTAGAGTGCGAGGAGCACTACCGCCGTCATCACTCGCGCTCTCCTGACGGCAGGTACATAGTGCGGCTGCCAACGATCGAGCCTCTCCCGGATCTGTCTGGGACTCGTCGCGTCGCCAGTCGTGCTCTGCAACAGACGGAGAAAAGGTTAGAGAAAGATGCCGACTTTAAGGACATGTACGTAGAGTTCATGCAAAAGTACAAGGAACTGCGACATATGATGCTTGCACCAGCGCCAGCTGAGCCACAACGAGGTACCTGTTACCTGCCGCATCACGGGGTCCTGCGTCCGGACAGCACTTCCACTAAGCTGAGGGTCGTGTTCAACGGCTCGAGCTCCTTGCCGAACGGGGACTCTCTCAACCAATTTCTTCTGACTGGACCGAATCTGCTTCCTGCGCTGGCTGACATCCTGCTGCGTTGGCGACGCCACAGATACGTCTTCGCTGCCGATATCGAAAAGATGTATCGGCAGATCCTAGTGCATCCGGACGATCGAAGCCTGCAGCGAATCCTGTGGAGAGACGACTCTAAGAACGACGTCCAGGAGTTCTGGCTATGCACGGTCACTTACGGGCTCTCATGCGCCCCGTATCTGGCCATCCGTACCTTACGCCAACTCGCCGAGGACGAAGAGCATCGCTTTCCGAAAGGCGCCGACATCCTGCGGAGCGATGTCTACATGGATGACATCCTGTCCGGTGCCAAGAATCAAGAGGAAGCAGAATCTATGGTGAGGCAGCTGACAAATATATGCACGGCGGGCGGGTTCACACTAAAAAAGTGGTCTACAAACGCCTCCTACCTGCTGAGCCTCGTGGAACCGGACGCGCGCCTGCAACAAGAGGCCAGATGGTGGCTGCCCGGCGAGAGTCATTCCACTCTCGGCCTTCGATGGCAACCGTGCGACGACCGCTTCGCCTTCGCCACCCACCGGATCACTCTCTCAGCGGTCACCAAAAGGTCGGTCCTTTCTTTGACGGCCAAATTATTCGATCCACTCGGCTGGCTGTCTCCAACGACTGTGCTGGCCAAAATCAACATCCAGGCTACCTGGCTACTAGGTCTCGACTGGGACGCGTCTCTGCCAAGCGAGGAAGCCAGAAAATGGCTGCGATTCCAGGAGGAGCTAGCGGCATTGGAGAAACTAGTCGTGCCTCGTTGGTTAGGAGCCCTAGCTGACTCCCATCAAGAGGTTCACGGATTTGCCGATGCCTCCGAACGTGCCTACGCCGCAGTCATCTACCTGCGAACAAACACAAACGGAGTTAGGAGAGTGACTTTATTAGCTGCGAAGACCAAGCTCGATTGGCCCCACGTCGTGCCTCTTATTGGCGCAGAAAAGGCGCCTCTCCATCTGTGGTCGGATTCCACCGTGACTCTCGGCTGGATCCGGGGCCACCCTTCGTCCTGGGTCACTTACGTCGCTAATCGGGTGAGTGAGATCCAGACGCTGACTCCGGACGCCCACTGGCACCACGTCCCCGGCCGAGAGAATCCCGCGGACTGCGCGTCACGAGGACTCTACCCCAGCGAGCTTGTGGACCATTCACTATGGTGGCAAGGTCCGTCGTGGCTGTCCTCCGAGAGCCAACCGTGGACGATCAACTGCGAGGAGCCACCAGAGGATGACCTCCCAGAGAGGCGCGTCCGCGCCCACGTCGCCGCCATCGCCGAACAAAGGACTGAGCCGGAGATGCTTCTTCGATACTCGTCGCTACAACGCCTGCTCCGGATCACTGCGTGGTGCCGTCGCTGGCTGCGGATCCATCGTCAGGACCACCTCGCGCATGGCCAGCCCGGCTTGAACAGCGCCGACGAGATCGAGGACTCCCGGATCTCCTGGTTAAAAATCATCCAGGCTGAAACATACAAAGAAGAACTGAGACACCTGAAGAATGGAAAGCCTCTGCCGACTCGAAGCTCCCTACTGAAGCTAAGTCCTTTTCTGGACAGTGAGGGACTCCTACGCGTCGGCGGGCGCCTTAAACACGCTGCACTGCAGTATGATGCCACGCATCCAACCATACTACCAAGCAGATCTAATTTTACTTGCCTCATCATCGACGACTACCACAAGCGGACGCTGCACGGCGGCACCCAGTTGACCTTGTGCTCTCTTCGCCAGGAGTATTGGGTCCCTCGAGGTCGCGCTCTAGTGAAGAGCCGCATCAGCCGGTGTCTAAGGTGCACCAGATGGCGGGCTGCCATCCCTCAGCCACTGATGGGGGACCTCCCGGCACCACGAGTTACTCCAGGCCGGCCGTTTCTGCATACCGGCGTAGACTACGCCGGACCGATTTGGATGCGAACAGCAGGGGGCCGCGGACTCAAGGCGACAAAAGGTTTTATTGTTGTCTTTATTTGTTTAGCTTCCCGAGCAGTCCACCTCGACGCGGCCTCGGACTACACCGCTGACGCCTTCCTTGCCGCCTTGCGTCGGTTCGTCGCCAGGCGAGGAGTCTGCCACTCGCTATATAGCGACTGCGGCACCAACTTCGTGGGTGCCGATAAGCAGCTTAGGCAACTATTCTCCGCCGCCAGTGCCGACGGACATCGCATCGCAACCTTCGCCGCCCAGGAAAGAATCCGGTGGCGGTTCAACCCGCCAGCTGCACCTAACTTCGGCGGTTTATGGGAAGCTGCCGTGAAAGCGATGAAGCACCACCTTCGGCGAGTCATCGGTGACGCCACCCTCACCTACGAGGAGATGACTACTCTCCTAGCCCAAATTGAGGCCTGCCTCAATTCCAGACCGCTGCAGCCGTTGTCTGACGATCCGGAGGATGTAGCCGCACACACCTGGTCACTTCCTGGTCGGCTCCGCTCTCTCGGCGATCCCCGAACCGTCGCTCGAACGAGAGCCGTCGGCACGTCTCTCACGGTGGCAGCTCCTGCAAAACATGAAGGACCATTTCTGGTCTCGGTGGGTCAGCGAATACTTACACACGCTGGCCCATCGGCCGAAATGGTCCCGAATTAATCAGGAGGCTCGCGTCGGTCGAATCTGCCTCGTGCGAAACGAAATAACACCACCAAGACGGTGGCCGCTTGCGCGCATTACACGACTGCATCCAGGTTCCGACGGTAACGTTCGCGTAGTCGACGTCCGCACCTCGACCACAAATTTGACGCGTCCCGTGAACAAGTTAGTCTTTCTGACCGACGGCTCCGAAGACTCACTCGAATCGCAATCACGCGTCGTCCGCGTTTAAAAAATTTACACTTTTCTCTATTCCATATTCACATTCATTTATTTTTTTTCACTAAATTTTCATTATTCTCCTCACAATTGTACTTCACACTCACAGTCACTTGCACATCGCCAGCATACGGTCTACGCGACGCTTAACCTATACGCGTCTATACTGACTCCCAGTATAAACAGCTGATCGATTCAGCATTCCGTTCTCTAAATCAATCGGAGCACGTGCGCTCCACGTGTCCGTCACGCACGAGCGCGTGAATAGGCTCGTGCCCCACTCTCGCGCTGAGAACACGATTGCAGGTATATTACTGCAAGGCGGGCGGAATGTTCGAGATTCGAACGGTAATAACCCGCGGACAAGAAAGCGTTAAAATATTCATGCATCTCGATCATGCCTCATGCAGCATGCATATAATTTATTAATTAATATCGTGGTCTAACATGCGTATTTTAAATTATATTTAAATTAGCGCTCGGCCGCGAGAGTATACGGATACTCCGCGCCTTCGAAAATAAGCGCTTAAAACAGTCTAAATTGTAAACACCGCTGTCGCGCGAGAGGAGAGAAAAACAAGTAAATAATTACAGTAAACGTTCCTTCGCCCTTAATATCACAATAGAACGACAGCAAATGTACTCGAATATTCTAGAATTACAAGGTGTATATAAGCCTCCTCTCTCGCGACCGCGGCGCTTTTTCCGATTGCTCATCGCGAATAAAGTGTGTTCATACGATAAAGATTGCTTGTCTTTGTCTAATTCATTACCGTTGCTTGCGGACACTTAGTAATTTACGACTCGGCTAATTCTCTCGGTAAATTCGGTGCGGTATATTAATTGTAATTTTTGTTAATAGTTTATATAAATATATTTTTTTTGTGAACGTTACGCGTGTGTCGAGTGTTGTGTCTATTTCTCGGTCTCGCTTCCGACCACGTCCTATCCATCTTTCCGTCGCGCACAAGCAGTTTCCTGGACGTTGGATGGGTCGGTATGGCCCGATACGTTGGCCCGCAAGATCCCCGGACCTTAATTCTCTTGATTTCTTTTTATGGGGATACTGTAAGGAATCAATATACAAAACGCTTCCCGAGAACGTCGACGACTTAGAAACCAGATTGCGATATGTAATTTGGAATATCGAAGAGGAAGTAATGGAGAACGTCCAATTAAATTTATTTAAACGCATGCGAGCTTGCATAAGGATGGATGGTGGTCATTTTGAGCACCTATTATAAATTAATCCGCTCTTTTCAGAGCGACCAAAGTCAATCCGCTCTTTTCAGAGCGACCAAAGTCAATCCGCTCTGAAAAGAGCGACCAATACATTTATACATGGAACATCTTGTTTGCAAAACATAATCATTTTTCTCACGTCTCGCTTAAAAAGAAAGGGCAAAACGGGCGGATAATGTTAAGTCATTAAAAAAAATGTATTATAACGTAAAAAATTATAATACGTTATAATATGCCTTTTTTAATAACATAATTATTATACGTTTTAATACATGTCTCGCGTCAATCACATGTTCGGCAACGCCGCGTGATTGTTATCGTCTAGACGTGTCGCGAAGCGTCGCGACGCGTTGCGTCATCCGTCGCCGCAGTCTGTTGTCGTGTCCTTGCCGTGTAAACAATTGTCGTCCGCATCGAGTAACGTGTGCCTTTTTACAAGTAATTTTTAATAATTAATCGGTACACTGAGAGAATTTTCTCTTAAAATTTACCCTAAAAGTTATGGTAATTGTGAGACAATACGGTATGAAAAGAATTTTATTAAAATTTCTCTGATTAATATTTATCACATTAAAAATAATATCTATCACAATAAAATATGAAATATGTGTGATTAATTTTACTAAACTGTATAGTAAAATTAATCAAACATATTTTATATTTTCTTGTGATACATATTATTATTTTTAATATAATAAATAGTAGAGAAATTCTAATAAAATTCTTTCCACATTGTTGAAGATTCGTTCTTCGGATCGAATCCTCGAGGACGATCGAATTTTCTAGAATGTTTTTTTGTTAAATTCCTTAGTGTTTACGCCAAGGAAACACGTGAAACCAACGTGTACACTCGCCGCTAATTGGCGTGTGTACATCGCCTGATTTTCTGATGGTCCAATCGAGGACCCCGATCGGCTGCCGCCCTACGCGAGCTCCGAAATTCGCGCAGCCCTCGAGTCAGTCCTCGAGAGAGCGAGCGCCGAGAAACATAAGTCTCGGTACGCGACGAACTTGTAGAAAGTGAATAAACTAATTTATAAGAGTTTTAACAAGGCTCTGTAATATAAATATAAATTTAACGTATAAGACGGGCAACAAGAGCCAAATCGCGGATGACAATGCGTTATCCTAACGAAACTAAATAATTTTCCGTTAGAATTAAATACCGGTGCACAAGGCACCAAATTTTACTTGGACACGGCCAAGATTTTAAAATATAAAATAATCTCATATTTGAGATTTAATTTCAATACCCCCTTTTTTTTTTAACCCCCCTACGGAAATTAAATAAATGAATGCAAGAGAAACATATAGATCCGAAAATCGGGGATTCCCGATTCAGCGATTTTCGGATCTATATTTTTCTCTTGCATTCATTTATTTAATTTCCGTAGGGGGGTTAAAAAAAAAAAAAAAAAAAAGGGGGGTATTGAAATTAAATCTCAAATATGAGATTATTTCATATTTTAAAATCTTGGCCGTGTCCAAGTAAAATTTGGTGCCTTGTGCACCGGTATTTAATTCTAACGGAAAATTATTTAGTTTCGTTAGGATAACGCATTGTCATCCGCGATTTGGCTCTTGTTGCCCGTCTTATACGTTAAATTTATATTTATATTACAGAGCCTTGTTAAAACTCTTATATTGATACACGCTGGCTTAAAAATGCGTTTGTTTACCAACATTAATATATATAACAGAGAAAAGTATAGAATCGAAAGGATTTGAATAGCTCAGCTGGAAGAGCAGTCGCCCGGCAAGCGAAAGGTCTCGGGTTCGTTTCCCGATTCAGCGATTTTCGGATCTATATTTTTCTCTTGCATTCATTTATTTAATTTCCGTAGGGGGGTTAAAAAAAAAAGGGGGTATTGAAATTAAATCTCAAATATGAGATTATTTCATATTTTAAAATCTTGGCCGTGTCCAAGTAAAATTTGGTGCCTTGTGCACCGGTATTTAATTCTAACGGAAAATTATTTAGTTTCGTTAGGATAACGCATTGTCATCCGCGATTTGGCTCTTGTTGCCCGTCTTATACGTTAAACTAATTTAAACCGTTTCAAAACGCGTACAATCATTTGATCACGTTAACCCGGCATCCTACAACGTTAAATCTTATACATATAAAATGGTCCTTCGAGCCGGATTTTAAAAACCGATCGAGTGATAGTGAAATCGCGAAAAGAACGGGCTCCTTTGTTTCGTACCTTATTCGAACGATTGACAATTTCTGCCTCGTGTGCCTATATCGGGGCAGTAAAGTTAAAAACGCAGTGATCCGCGGCACGAGAAATCCGCTAATTACGCGTTCTCGTTTGGAGTAGAAAGACTCCGTGTGCGGGAGTGAGACCGCGCTACACAACAATTAGCCGTCGCGCGCGCTCCGAAACAGTCTCTCTCTCTCTCTCTCTCTCTCTCTCGTTCTCTCTCGAAGACGCGAAGAGCGAGAGAGACGGATCACCGTCGCGCGCGTTCCGAAGATCTCTCTCTCTCTCTCTCTCTCTCTCTCTCGCGCTCTCTCCAAGACGCGAAGAGCGAGAGAGACGGTATCACGCCGCGCGCTCCGAAGCTCTCTCTCTCGCTCTCTCTCTCTCTAGCTGCGGCTCTCTCGATCGCGCGCCTGCCGTCGCTCCGGCCTAAGCCGCGGCGCTCCGGCCACGTGACGGTCACGCACCCTCACGTATCCGGTGTACATCGAATTCTGCATTTGAGTAGTCAGAATTTCGTTGAAGTGTCACTTGCAGTGCAAGCGCCGCTATCACGCGCTTTGCAATTTTGCATTCGGACGGCAGTTAAACGCCGTTCGAGATTAATGACTTCACGCGTACTCCGCTATCACGCACCAGTGATTTTCTTAATTGAGTGCGGTGAACATTCGCGAGTTATCCGCAAGCGCCGCAAGCACGCGCTTTGCGTTACGATAATCGCAGTGACTCTCAATGATTAATCGTGACTTATATTGATTAACAGTGACTCTCAGTGAGCGTGCGCCGCTATCACGCGCACCGCACCGGTGAATCTTAACCAGTGCATTTTTTTCTCACTGACTTTTGACTCTCGCAGACCACAGTGCAAACGACAGCGCACGCCGCTATCACGCGTACGCGTCGTGCATCTCTCTGTGACTCTCTCGACACAGATTAATAGACAGATCGCCAAAGGCCTGCCTAAAGAAGAGACCGCCATCTTCGTGCGATAGACTTTGCCCCTTACCGACACACTTTGCCCCTGGTTCGAATCCGTGCTAAATTTCGTAGACTTGAACCAAAAGACTTTGCCCCTGGTTCGAGTCCGTGCTAAATTTCGTAGACTCGACCAAAAGACTTTGCCCCTGGTGCAAGTCCAGGCTAAATTCGTTTGACATTACCAACAGACTTTGCTCCTGGTGCGAATCCAGGCTAATTGATCATGAGACCAATTTGAGAGATTTGGCCCCCGTTGTGTGTGTGTGTGTGTGTGTGTGTGAGAGAGAGAGAGAGAGAGAGAGAGAAAGAGAAAGAGAATATTTTACATATGCATATATATATATATATATAAAA